CAGCTACGTTATTCACGTAGCTGAAGTTGCGTACCTTAGTTCGAATTAGGGGGGTAGTGTAGACCAAGCCTTAGTTTAGCTTGGATTCAGGAGATTCATCATTAACTGCTGCTAATGGACATATGAAACGAAAAGGAAGGAATGTTAATAAAATTAATTGAGGTTATTCTGCTCTTTTATGTGACTCTCAAACTGGAGTCAGTTTTTTGCATTTTGCGTTCTAATAAAATACTCCTGCTGTGAGATCTGGCTAAAGAAATGTGGTTACACTTGCATTGTTGCCAATATGTATACAGAATAGAGCTATGGAAACTGGTCTTCTGTGGTCTTAGAGAGCAGTTGTTTTCTTGGAGAGGGCTTGTTTTAAAGAGTTTCCTTGCTGACCAGAATCTTTTTTCTCTTTTTACCCTTCAGGTGTCCCCCACTGAGGGGGGACACCCAAGATTGTAACAAGGTAATTACTCCCCTGTAACATGTCAGCACAAATAAATCACAGGCAACCTCTTGTTTTTTTCCTGATTGTTATATGAGGATATGAAGTGTATTTGTCTGTCTCACAGGTAGAAGACAGCTTGGAACTCTCCTTTCAGGGAGAAGATGATGTGAAACTTGATATTTTTTTCTTCTATGAAGATGATGACCACATATGGAATGGAGGAACTCAAGCCAAATCGGGCAAGAAATTTAAGTATGAATTCATTTCAAGTCTACAGAAGGGAAAACTAGTTGAACAAATTGTTACAGCATTAGATGCTGTTATTAAATACTATGTGTTACTGTAATGGCAAAGTTTTAGAAATAGTAGTTACAACAGTTGGCATTTAGCTTTATCCTCCAAGCAAGAAGGTGCTTCAGGAAGAGAAGAATTTGTAGAGATTTTGCACAGCGAGGGCTGGAGAAATGGGAAGAGAAACAGTGACATTTAAGTGTCTCATCAAATTGGTGTTATATTCAGCATTGTCAGCGTGCTCTTTGAAAATCTGCAGTAACCTTGGAATCTAATTGTTAAACAGATGTCATCTGGACTAAGACAAGCACTAGTTTAATAAAAAGGGAAAAGGGGACTCAAGCTACAATTTTTTTCTTTCAAGTGCTTGTTTTTATGTATTTTGTAGCACTGAGGGTTCAGTCATCTATTTGTGTGATTAGAGATTATGGCACAGGGGCTCACCAGTCCTTGCAAAATAACCCAACTCATTGAGATTCTGCAGTAATGGTCCACAACAATACATTTCACAATAGCATTTCTGCAGTGATATGGGCCGTTACTCTCAAATGCCTTTGGTATTTTTTAAAGTATGTTCCTGTTGTTAAAGTGGTTTAGGAAACATGGAACCTCATGTACAGTATCTTGCTCTTTTCTGTATCAGATATGCAGGTAAATGTAGATTTAAGCATGCAGGTTAAGTTCATGGAGGATAGGTCCATCAATAGCGGTTAGTGAGGAGAGTCAGGGAGGCAACCCAATGCTCTGGGTATCCCTAAACTTCTGACTGCCAGAAGCTGGGACTGAATGACAGGGGAGGGATGACTCAATAATTGCCATGTTCTGTTCATTCCCTCTGAAGCATATGGTGGTGGCCACTGTCAGGAACAGGATACTGGGCTAGATGGACCCTTGGGTCTGACCCAGTGTGGTCATTCTTATATTCTTGGGTAAACAGTCAGCTGAGCAAACTCAGCCTGGGTTCTGAGAGTTAGACTGGGTTCTTTCCATCTGATATCTCATCTCCAGTGATAAAGGTTGTGCGGGCCAAAGGTTGTGCCATACCTATGTTGTGACATCTAGTTCCTTGCCAAAAGAGCTGACATAGGTATTGTAAACTATATCTAATATATAGAATCATAGAATCATAGAATATCAGAGTTGGAAGGGACCTCAAGAGGTCATCTAGTCCAACCCCCTGCTCAAAGCAGGACCAATTCCCAGCTAAATCATCCCAGCCAGGGCTTTGTCAAGCCGGGCCTTAAAAACCTCCAAGGAAGGAGACTCCACCACCTCCCTAGGTAACATATATATATATATCAAAAAGGAGCATGGAAATTAGTCCTCTTGATCAGTAACAGAATGTACCTGTTTAGAATGTCTTAACCTAGCTTCCATTGTATTAAATATCTTCTTAAAAGGAGAGATACAAGGAGAGATTTTTTTTTAAACAGTTAAACCTTATTATTAACCACTCTTGACTTTAAAGGTTGGGATACCCACCACCATTAGGTGCTTTCACAATGATTGTGGAACGTGGGAGGAAATGAGGTTGGTCAACCAAGACAGAAGTTATTCTGTTTAAGTCGTGCTAGAATCTAATTCTTCAGCTTGGAGTGAGTTTCTAAGAATTATCACCTTAAAAACAGAGCTTTCTACTGTACGAGACTGCAGATGGGAGAGTTTCTAAACATCAAAGTGACAACTATAGAGTTTAGAAGCGATAGAGTTACTGCTGCAGAAATTAGAAGCTCTGTCATAAGTACATACGGAGCTCATGTGAACTTTTTATATTGTCGTATCTCTAAGTGACCTCAACTAGGTCTGAGCCCCTGATCTCTGGATTGACTGTTCTTCAAGAATAAATGGTGATAATACAGTAGAAGCTCAGAGTTACGGACACCTTGGGAATGGAGGTTGTCTGTAACTCTGAACAAAGCGCAGTTCGGGCTCCAAATCCAACAGCTGACACTCCAAGCAGCAGCCGAGCTCCCTACGCAGCCCTGGCATGAGTTTGCAAGCTTGTCCCCTTCGGCCAGGGACGTGTGTGTGAGAGAAAACAGCATGTCCCCTTCCTGGCGGGGAGGGGAAGGGAAGGAGGGGAGAAAGCTGCGCAGACCCCAGCGTTGCTCCTTCACTGCAGACTATAGCTGCCTTGGGCTGGCAGCCCCAATGTCTTGCTGTAAGTGGCTGCCCTGAAGGTGGGGGTGGGGTGGGGACAAGCAGCCCAGGTGTGCCTACCTTTAAGATGCAATACAGGCACAGAAGAGTACTTGCTTTTTTTTCCCCCTCCCCTTTTTCTCTGCTGCTGCCTGATTGGTTACTTCCGGTTTCACCTGGTGTCCAATTGTCTGGTCAGTTCATAACTCTGGTGTTCATATCTTTGCGGTTCTACTGTACCAGAATTTCTATGCTTGGGAGTGAATGCTGCAGAATTTAGAAGCTCTGAAGTTACTGTGGTGTAGCAACAACTTAATATTTCACAGTAGAAACAATAAGATATATTAGATTTAAATCAACCAACTAAACAAACAAATCACCTTGGGAAATAAACAAAAAACTTAGCAATAGGGTAAATAGTATTAGTATAGGAACACTATGAATTTCTTCATTTTCGAACATTAATTTAGTAAAATTTTATTGGAATAATGATAGTCGTATAATTATTTACAACTATAAGTATTTTAACAACGTTTTTGCTTCTGAATTATAAGGACAATGCAGCTGGTTGATCAGCAGACACTTTTATACTGGCATTTGAGAGACTGTTAATTTGACATCATAGGAGTGTTGTGCCTTAACTAGTGTGTAGTAAGGTTTGTTGCAGACTTCTGTTACGGAACTGGTGTGATCAGATAGTGTCATTTTTATCAGGGCTTTGGAGCGGAGCAGTAGGTTTTTGCCCGGAGCTGGAGCGGACCAGTTCAAAAATTTGATTGCTCCAAATCCCTGATTTTTACCACACTGAGTAAATGCCCAGTGTAGAATGCTCGCCAGTTGTGTACTTCATACTAGAAGTGATCTTAATGCTTTACAGTCATGAATAAAAGCAGGGTCCCTACTCCAAGAAATGTATAATTTGAATAACCAAAATATAGATGAAGGACGTGGGAAAGGAAAGCAAAGTATCTGAGCAGTTACGTTTGGCACATGTTGTTTTAATTTTTTAGAATTGTATCTATTTTTCTCTTTTGTTCTTGTGGAGCTGGTTTCCTAACTTCCTCAAGAGATGCCTTGAATAGACACTTTTGTGAGTATGGCCCTAGTCCTGCAAACACATATATTGTGATTAATTTTACGCACAGGATACTCCTGGGGGAATTCTGCACCAAAAAATTAAACATTCTGCACACGATATTTTAAAATTCTGAAAGATTCTGCGTATTTTATTTGTCAAAATAACACAATATAATCACACCAGTTTCAATTATTTTGGTAATTTATTTCAAAATACTTGTCAGCAAGTATGTCTGTAACAATATAGAAAACAAAAAGATCAGGAAATGTTTTTTGACGAATAGATTCCTCAATAGGCATATAAATACAGACATCTGAATAATAATTCATTTAAACTACAGAACCATATTTCCTGCACCCCTCAGAAGCAGTGCAAATGCTTAGAGGAGTCAGTGTGGGAGAGGGAAGTAATTGCTGAGAAGGAGCCTGGGTATGAACTTGTAGGGTTGTTGGATATGGGTGGGAAAAGTATGGAACAGGTTTTTTTGGGAGGTGGGGAAGGATCCCCCATGCAGACTCTGGCTGACCCCTAGCCTCTCCCATTCAGTCAGGCACATCTGCGCCTGTCCCCATGTGTCCCTGCACCCCCTCCCCTCATCTCCATGTGTCTCTGTGCCCCTACTCAGCCAGCCTCCTGTCCCCATGTGGCCTTACACCCTTCCCCCATCCCAGTGTGTCCCTGCACCCCTCATCCAGCCCCTCATCTCCATGTGTCTCTGTGCCCCCACTCAGCCATAGCCCTTCCCCTCTGTAGCTCTGCACCCCCTCCCTCTCTGCCCATGTGGCCCTGCACCTCCCTCCCCCCCTCGTGGCCCTGCACCTCCACTCCATTCAGCCCCTGACCCAATCTGTCCTCCCCCACTAGCCTTTATGGGCCCCTGTATGACCCCCCCAGCAGCCCCACGCTCTCTGTCTCCCCGTATCCCCTGTCTCCTGACCTGGCCTGACCAGTGCTCTGAAGAAGGCACTGCAGCCTCTTTCTCTTCCCTATCCTAGCTGGGGCTGGCCGGGAGCAGCTGCTGCGTTCTGATGCTACAGCGCCCTCTGGTGGGCAAAAGGCGGAACTGCCGCAAGTCTTCAGCAGAAGCTTTTTTCTGCAAATATATATATGCATGTGCATGGCACATGTGCTGCTCCTGGGGCTGCTCGACTACTATTTGTCCAGGTCAACATGTAGGGTTACAGTCTAACCTGAAGTAACTTGTCCTGGGTTTGCATCACAAGTCAGTGACAAAGTTGGAAGGAGATCCTAAGCTCCCTGTCCTGTATCTTCTCCATTGGATCACCTGGGCATTGCTAGTATGTCTCATTCTACCACAGGTGTGAGAAGAGGGAGGGGCATTCTGCATAGGTCTGGCAACTTGTATTACTTCGATGCCCCATGGCAGGTTTGGTTTTCTTTGTGATTTATATTTTTAAGGGCATTGCATCTGCAGCGAAGCAATCAGGGAGAGCGTATTGAGCATGTAGCCATAATAAAACTCCAACTTCAAAGCACTTGACAGCCATTAACTAGTTAATACTCACAACATCCCTGTAAGGTAGATAAGTCATTATTACCCCTATTTCACAGATAGGAAACAGAAGTGGGGAGGTTAAGTCACTCGCCCAAAGTCATGCAGCAAGTCATGGGCAGGGAAAGAATTGAAATGCAGGTGTCCCTGACTCTGTCTTATGCCCTGGCCACAATACACAATCTGTACTCCTTCATAATTTTAAAAATCAAATGGTGTAGTGGTTGCCAAGGTTTTGTTTACTGAATATCATACCTATCTTTGAGTCTTAACTATTGTGTTCTCTTATTGTAACATAGGTACCTGTTTCCTAAGTTTACCCTGTGTTGGACTGAGTTTGTAGAACTCAAGGTACATGTGCCTTGTGAAACCCTCCAATATGTCGAAGCCAACTACGGCAAGGACTGGAAGGTACCTGTGAAGGTGTGGGACTGGAAAAGCTCTCCATCCAATGTGCAGTACAATGGGATGTGGCCTGTTGATGAATGGGATGATGTCATTCAAGTCTACTGATCACATGGATGTAACCAGGATTTGTTTGGTACCATCGGACCTATCCATGCTTAAATTCCCTCACCCCAAGATGTCGAGATCAGTTTTCTGATCAGTTTTCATACATTTCCTAAGGAGAGCTTGAATCTTTATTGGCATAATAGGTGGTGTGTGTACTTCTCATGGCACTTGTATCTGACATTCTCTGTGACAGCTAAAGGAAGAGAATGAAGGTAATATGTGTGAACTCAGAAGATTAGCTGAGAGGAAAGAGGTACAAAAGGAATGTAAGAAAGATTGAAGTGGGAATATAGGCAGGAAAAAATTAAACTTGAACCCAGACTAAATGGTTCAGCATGCTTTGTCTCGTGGGGGGAAACTCTGAAATACTAGAGTGGAGATAGATAAATTGATCTAAAGCATCCCCTAGTGGTTGTGGTAGTCAGTCTGACTTCAGAGGTTACTGGAATGTTGTCCAGTTACTCAGAGCAGGAGTGACTGCTTTGTGAAAGGGCCACAACTAAGATAACGAGGGATACAAAGGTAGCCCTGGATGAAAAAGTGGATTAAGACACTGAAGAGTCCTATTCCCATCAGAGGAGGTGTGGGCTTTCCTAATATGTCCTTGGGAAAATCTGGGCTCAGTTAACAAAAGTAGAGATGTTTTCTATTAACCACTTTATGTAGATATGTCAGGGAATGCTATCTACTGTTTATTTTTTTAACATGGAGCCGTATGCTACAGGGGGACACTTTGTATAAAAGGAGAATCCAGAATTCTGATCGTTGATGCTCTAAACCATGGGTCTGAAGTAACCTGGGAGTTGTAAACAGATTTTATAGGGTCATGATCACCCTCCCTTTCTTTACAGTTAGATAGGAGTGGAGTCCTGAAACTTCTTTGTTGTTGTTGTAACCTGGGGTCAGGGTATGGACGAGGTTGAGAATCACTACCCTCATCTTTTAAGTCTAAACCCCAGGCTGTTAATTTGTAGACAGCTGCCAACTCCTTCCTCAGATTTACAACAGTGTAATCTAAAGGCCACTGCTGGGGTGTCACTGGGTTTAAAAACCTCACAGCTGTATCTCCTCTCGTTGCTACTTGCATTTTTGGTCAGTACAGTAAACTCTCTTGTATTTCATTTTGGGGAGGGATTGCTGAATAATAGCTTCGGTCTGAACCTGTGCTTGAGTCCATTTAGCGAGATGGATCTAGAGTATTCCCAAAGTGAAGTCAGTGAAGCTAAATGACCCTGATTTGTTCAGCTCCTTCTCAGTGGGCAAGTCAAGAGCTTGGGGTTGTTAATGAAATATGAATACCAAATGTACTGGCGCTAACCCTGGAGCACTCATGGTGCCAATGTCAAGGAGTTAAGCAGTTTTGATGCTTTCATATCTGTGTATAATAAGGCTGTAGTCCAGATTTCTTTCCTGGAGTATGATGGTTAGCTACAAGTCACAGCTTTTTTGTCAGTTACTGGCTACGAATAGGACAAATCTTTGTTTTGTATTCAGTTGATACATAAATACTGAATTTTTCAGGTATTTGTATCCAAGTTAATACAGTTTTGAGTAGCTAACACAGCTGCATCTGAGTGACTGTTTTACTGCTGTACCATTCCAGGTGCACTCTGGGGCTTCCCTGGTATTTACAGAGTGCACAACACACTGTATTCCTGCCAACCCTCCTAGTTCCAGAACTCTCCTGCCACTGAATACTGCAGTAAATAATTCAGAATTTGGCAAGTACTTTAAAAAATGGATTTGTCACATCCTTAATTACTACTGGCTTTTTAAACACTACAAAAACGTTGGTGTTTTTTGTCAAATTGGGGAGGGGAAAAGGTTAAATCCTAGTAATGTTTTTACTTGATGAGGTGAAGCACTGAGTCTGGGAAGGATGAGTTTTCATGTGGTACTTTTTGCATTCTTTTTTGTTGTTGCGTACGGCCTAAAGCTAATCTCCTTTTGATGGTTTTATTATTCAGAGCTCTGTGTTAAGCAGCACTATGCTATTAAATAAGGTACAGTTGCTCTCTGGTTTTACAATGTGATAGAACTTTGGAATGGAAAGATAAGATAGTGTCAGGATAGAAAATGTGCAATCCTGTCACAAGTTTGTGATTTTATATTTGTAAATGGAAAGGCTAGTAGCAAAAACAAAAATGCTCATCCCCTAAGCAGAATAGAATGTTTTAAATATCTGACTGCAATACTGTATATGTGTGTGTGTGTTTAACTTATTGTCCAAGCTGTTAAAATCTTCAGAAGAAATGTATTCTTTAACACTGACTAAGGCCGTGTCTACACTACCACTTATGTCGCTCAGGGTGTGAAAAAAACATCCCCAGGAGCAACAGAAGTTTCACTGGCCTAAGTGCCGGTGTGCACGGCGCTATGTTGGCGGAGAGCTTTTCCCGATGACATTGCTGCTGCCGCTTGTTGAGGTAGTTTTAGATGTCTCTGGGAGAGGTCTCTTCCGTCGGCAGAGAGCAGCTACTCGAGCACTCTTACAGTGGTGCAGCTGCATCGGCACCGCTGTGCTGCTCTAAGCTCACTAGTTTAGACGTGGCCTGAATGAATGAGTTTAATTTTCCACTCAGTCTGCTAATGTACAATTACGTTTTGTTATCTAGGGCAGCATTTTTAACATACGGTTCAGTGTTACTGTGGAATAATTCGAAGAGGAATGTTTTTGATCTTTGTTTTTCTAAATTGTTTATTGACCATGTTTACCTGAAGCTTTTATTTTAATAAACTCTATGAAAACAGTGTTGTTGTTGTACAGAATACCAGAAGTGATTTACTGTATCTGAGAAATAGGTGGCATGGATTAGATTCTTCCTTTACTTACACGGGCTCAATCCCACTGACTTCACTGTGGTTGCACAGGTGTAAGCGAGGGAAAAATTTGTGCCACCTTACCCAGCTCCTGCTGCAAACCTTTCTGACATTCCCTGGTTTATTTACCCACTCTTGTCACTTACCTGCATCCCTTTCTTTCTGTAGTTGCTATGCCCACACGAGAACGCAGAAGGGTAACAGCAAGAGTTAACAGATTCCTCACATTTGTCAGAAATGTAGTAGCTTTTTAGCGACATCTACACACTTCGCTCCACCTCTAGAACTCTCCTGCTCTGCTTTCTTTACTTGTGAGCCTAGTTTTTGCTTCCACCAATATAAAATCTAAACTTATTACAACAAATGCCACATGGTGAAACAACATAAAGAAAGAGGCAGAAGATTCTGGAGGAACCATGAGCAAAACCAAAAGCAGCAAACAAATATACCAGGGCAGGTTTGAACCCAGGATGTAGTTGTATCCATTTTGCAGAATATTTCTAGGGGTCTTCCTTGAGAAATAGCTTATTGCAGCTTCCCCTCAGAAAATGGTTCCTCTGCTCATAGATCAGATCATGTCTTCAGACACACAGTAAGATAGAAAAGTAGAAAATTAATGGTACATTATACTCAAACTGGAATCATTTCCTGCTGCCTTATCCTGTTATGCATCTGGCTCCCCCTGTCATGCTGGAGATGATTTGTAGCTGTGCTCAGATCACCCCACGCGGTGTGTTGCTCTTGCTGTCGCTTAAGCTTGACAACCAGAGCCAGCGTGACAAAATTAATTCCTTGATACTGGAAGTCACATTTTCTGATGTTAGTGCTCTATGCAAACGCCAAATGCAGACCGTGGACTATTGTAATAGTATTTTTCATCACTACTGAGTAAATGGCAGACTTAAAAATCTCCATTGGTTCTGTTATGAAGCACTGAATATTGGGGGAGGCACACACAATCTAAGCCCAGATGCATTTTTGACTTTGCAGATTTGTTCTCTCTAACTAAAAAACCCACCTTATTTTTGAAAATGATAATTTTTGTAGGCTGCATGGTGTAGTTCTGATCTCACTGCAACAGTGTGAGTGCTTAATCCTGCAAGGTGCCAAGTACTCTGGGCCCCGATCTAGCAAAGCATTTAGGTACAGCTTAACTTTAAGCATATGAATAGTCCTGTTGAAGATGTAGCCCGGTGGGATTCTTGGACAAGAAACAGGTGGGGTTTTTTTTTGTTTGTTAACTGTGCAAGACCATCCATCGTGAGATCTTACACCAGTCTGTACTAATTAGAAGTCATTAGTGGGTTACTGATATTGGGTTGAAAATATAAATAAAAAGGGATATAGAAATAATGTGCAGAAGTTGATAAATACAAAGAAAATCACTATCTTTTAAAATATTTAAGTAAATTTAACTGTTGCACCTGTTCATATAAATGGATATATATCTACAGGATGGGTCGAGTATTGACAACAGGATGTATGTCTCAGCTCTAACTTCAAGGAGGCTACTCGTGAGTAAAGTGAAACGTTCTGGATCTAGTCAGAAAGAATCTTGTGTGTAGAAATCTGGGTCTTAGTTTGATATAAATTTAATGCACAAATATTTTGATATCTTTTGTTCAATCCCTGATTTTGGATGTCATTTCTTCACACTTTATTCCATTTCCGGATGAGTTAGCTGCATTTTGATCAACATTTGAAACTGCAGCAGTGTGTGACTTATAGATATTTGTTTTTATTTTATTTGTGTTACGTACGCTCCTAGAGACCCCAACCAAGATTGGAGCCTGATTGTGTTAGGTGCACTGTACAAACAAGTGTTCAGAAACAGGCTGCTGCAATCTAACTAGACAAGTCAGAAAAAGATGGAGGGGGAAAGAGGCACAGAAAGGTGAAGCCACTTGCCCATGGTCACACAACAGGTCAGTGACATCTGGGAATAGACCCTGGGCCTGGGTCCCATTCCAGTGGAGCCCACTTTCCTTACCTGGCTCTAGAAGAGTTATTCTGAGAATTCCACACGGGCATTTTGAAAAGATTGTGCTATTTAGTTTATTCTCCCTGTTGGCTGAAAGTTAGTATTTGTCATTAAATGATGGCCTGTGTTTGTTTTACTGTACATTTTGACTGATTCTCTAAATGTGTCTTATATCGGCTGTCTTTCGTTTCAGTTTTACTGATAAAGTCATAGCATAATTTTTTGCAAAGAGGATTATTAAAAAGGAACTATTTTGCTTGTTGATTAACCACTGCCACCCTAACTTTCCAATGAGTTTAAGAAAAGCTGCACGTGAAGGGCCAGAGGTTTAAAAAAGCTCACCCCCAACAGCTCCCATTCTGGTGCTTGAATAGCGGGGCAAGATTTTAAAACACGCTTGGTACCCAGCAGCTCCCCTTAGGAACAATGGAGAATCCCCGTCACCCACCTTGGGAATACTAGGAGTTGCAGGGTTTTGAGCACGCTTGAAGATCTAGTCCATTTAGGTGCTAAAGCAAGAGCTCAGCTTTTTGAAAATCTGGCCCCAATTGAGGGTGCTGAGCACGTTGGGAAATCTGGCCTGCAATCGATGATGGGCTGGATCCTGTATCTCTTGGGAGGCACTGAGCACCTCCATTTGTCATGGACAGTGCTCAGCATCTTGCAGGAAAAGGCCCTTTGAGTTGTCCCTCCACCCCCAAGCTTTTAAAAATATGACTGGGAAGGCGTGATTGGTGGCTGCTGCTTTCCAGTCACCTGTCCTGCTAGCAAAGACAGGAAGAAGTCACACTAATAAATCCAACTTTCTCTGCCATCCACATAAAGAAGTGCAGGTGCTTTGTATTATGCGTTTCCCTTGGAACAGTGTCGGTGATGGAGGCACGGTTCATGGCCTTAAAAACAAGTGAACTTTAACCTCTGCTACTTCAGAAATCTTTCTGTTTATGGTGCGTGTCCCGTATTTTTTTACGTAAAATTGCAAGGAAGACAAAATTCTGTATTTTAGCTCCCAATTTCTCCACAGTCAGGGAGTATATCAGGTTTTTTTTTGTTCTTGTGTATGTGATATTACAGTGATCAGGTCTGTATAAAAACACAGACAAAGTTCCAAAGATCAGACCCTCAGGGTAACGCCCATTTTCACTACTCGTGTCTGTCTTTTATTAGTTATTTGTGGAATGCTGTAAGTGTATGAGCCATCTCACACAATTCTTGACAAACACCTCTGCCTGGAGAGGCTTAACCAGACCAATACGAAGCCAGAGACAACAGTTCACATGTAAGTAGGTGTGAAAATGTTATCTGTGTCCTGCGTAACAGCAGAGCAGATCCCCTCACCTAGTACAGAGACAGCTTCAATGACCGCTGATTTACAGCAGCTGTGGCTCTAACCTAATAGCATCCAGCCTCGACCGTGATTCAGTGTTATACACAGATGTACTATTGACTTAGGCTGTAGCAGGGTACAGTAGTTAAAATCTGAATGAGAGTTACAGAATCATCCAGGTCAGATCCATAACTAAGGAGGTTTGGGTAAAAGCTCTTCCCAAGGAAACAGTGCCAATGAAAGGGTCACTTTTGAAGGAGGGATATAATAAACACTACTGAATTATAAATCCTTCCTCCTGTCACTCAAACAGAAGCTATGGGCTGAGTGAGATTCTCTGCCCTGTGTGGTGGATAAGGGTGAAGATCTCAACGCAACCCTCGATCACTTTACCTGCTCTGCCTAATGCAGTCTTACAGAATAGCAATCAGATCCTACACTTGGGCCCAGCTTGGATGCTGGCGGGCCGACATCTGAAAGGAGCTGTCTAGCTGAAGTTCAAAACATTCCGTACCAAAGCAGGAAAGCCTCAACCAGACTGACTTAGAAAGGTAAGTGGAAGAGGTTTTCTATCTCAGCTGTCTCCCACAACACCACCCATTTCAGCAATATCGGACTACTCCATAATGGTCCATTTAGCAGCAATATCTGCACATCACCGTCCTATCCAGGGCCACATTGTATTTACTCTCCCTACAGTGGCTAGATTCCTTAAGGGCATTACTCATTTTTCCCTCTGTTCTAGAGCCCCCTTTCTTTTGGGACCTCAATGTAGTATTAACGAGGTTGGTGCATCCCCTCTCTTTTAGCCCTTAACAGCTTGTTCCCTTTTTTCCTTCTGTCAATGAAGAGTGCCTTTCTAGGAGCCATTACATCAGCTCAAAGGTAGGGAAGATTCAGGACCTCACGGTGAGCTGACATGATACAGTGTTTTATAAGGACAGGGTCACTGTAACGGGTGAGACTCACCGCTACGGCGCCTCCTGCTGTCGTCCTGGGAATTCGCTCTTTCACAGCCTTGGATCGCACGCTGCAGGCCCCTATCTTGCCTCGACGGGCCCCCGTGTCTCTCCCGGACCCCGGTGCCCCTTTCCACTGGGGTTCTGCCCCTGGCAGTACCCCCAGTCTCAGTGGGTCTCCCCTCCCCAGAGAACCTTACCCCCACCTTGCCTCAGTCTTGGCTACTGCCAGTCCCCATCTAGCCCCCATTCACTGGGGCAGACTGCAGTATGATTGCCACTCATCACTGGCAAGGAGGGTTTGGGCCTGCTGCCTCTGCCTACCTGTGGGCTGCCCTCTGCAACCCCAGTACCTTTCTAGCGGGCCCTTCCTTCGGCCTGCAGCCTGGGGCTCTGCTAGGCTGGAGCTCCCCGGCCCTTTCCCAGCACTGCTCTACCCTCAATACCTTCCTCAGCTACCCAGGCAGCCTGGTCCCTCCCTCTCCAAAGGCGAGAGAGCGAGCGAGCGGCTGTGCTCCTGGCCCACTGCCCTCTTATAAGGGCCAGCTGAGCCCTGATTGGGGCATGGCCACAGCTGAGGCTGCTTCCCCAATCAGCCTGGGAGCTACTTACTCCAGCAACAGCTCTCCCCTGGGCTGTTTTAAGCCGCTCCGGGCCGGAGCCGGT